GAATGTCAAAAATTTTGGTTTGTTTGGCTTTATTCAAAGTAAGAATCAACCCTTTTTTCAATAATTTAAATGAAGGAAAAAAGAATGACCACTCACCAAAATTTCCGAACAACTGCAATTGCACATTCTTCTGAAGAGTACAACACGAGATATATTCCGCAATCTTAAGCAGTCACGATACCAGAAGAAGCAGCTTCTTTAGAGTTCATGGAATAAAAGAGATTCAACACATCTGCATCGTTTCGAATGTACCGTGGACATTTAGAAAGGAAATTATGTACTTCTACATGCCTTCCGTGCTTGAAGAAGGCTTCAAACAAACGAAGATACACAGATGTAGACGGAAACCTCTTTGAAGTCATTGCCCTGAGAAACAGTACCGCATCATCATCACTTCCACTCTTTGACAAGTGTTCAATAAATGGATCAGTATAAGGTGGAAATCCATGGGTTTTCATTAATCCCAAAATTGGCAAAGCATCTGCAAATCCTCCCTGAACCAATAACTTGGTTACCAACAGCTTGTAAGTAGAATGCCAGGGTTTTAGCTGTTTTTCATTCACTAGTCGGCAAAGAATCTTACATGCATCTATTGCCCTATTCGTTTGACAAAGTGAATTCATCAACACATCAAAAGTATAGCCTGCCGAAGTGATCCCCTCCTTCTCAACCATCTCTTTAAAAGAATCAAAAGCTTTATCAATGTTCCCGGCAACACAGTGCCCCTCAATCAAAGATTCCCATGTCTTGCGATCTGCATTACACCCAGATGCTTCAACTCTATTCACAAACTCATGAGCTTGTTCCGTATTACCAGCAGCACTAAGTCTAAAGGCAATTTTACTCTGTAAATTACCACCAGCAACAAACCCACAGTTTTCCATTTCTTTCAAAACCTTGTTCAACTCTCCAGTCCTACCAACGCTGGTCAAAGACTTCAGCACAGCATTAACCATAGAATCAGTCAACGAATTCCCACTTCCGGTAAAAACCTTCAGAACCCACGAAAACAAATCCATATCCAGCTCTTTCCCAGTAGCAACCTTCCTCAACAAAAAGACACAACACTCAACCGAAGGCTTATTTGCGCCAGCCATAGCAAGCTCATAAAGCTCAACAGCATCCTTTACCATTCTCCTCTTACAAAACCTCCCCAAAACCTTAGCAAAGGTCTCAACCTCCATCTCAAACCCAGCACTCCTCATGTCCCCAACAAGCTTCCAAAACCTATCAATCGAGTCCTCCCTCCCCAACACCCTCGCCATTGCATTGTAAGTTTCCCCATTATGCTTAAACATCCCACTCTCCTCCAACCACCGGAAAAATATCAGCGCCTTAGCCGGCTCTGATGCCAATCCCTCCAAAACAATCTTAACCATATCCCCGGAGAACCCAACATTCAAGTCCTTAATCTGCCTCTCAACATCATCACTCCACACATTGTTCCTCGCAATCCTACACACTATAGCACAGTTCTTCTCATTCGAGTTATCAAACAAACCCTTCAACTTCGCCAAGTCACCTTTCATTCCACCCTTCTCAAAACACTCCAACATTCTCTCCTTCACACCCTTGGAAACCCCATACCCCTTTTTCTTCATTACATCGACCAACTCCCAAAACTCGTTAACCAAACCATTGGTCCCCAAAACGCGCAGCATCGAGTTGTAGCACTTGGAGCTCAACTTCTCGGGATAGTTCTCCGAAACCCATTGGAAGAACCTCCGCGCCGCATCGACGTTGGAATCGAGCTTCCACAGAACCGCAAGGACAGCGTCGTGAGTAATCGAAATGCGATTCGAATCGACGAGGTTTTTCACGTCGTCGGAATCCGCATGTTTGGAGAAAATGTCGGCGACGAAGACGTGGTCGTTATCGGAGTGAGCGAGAACAGGTTCCGAAGAGAAACGACGGAAACTAGGGTTTAGCGGGAAGGAGGAATTTACGGTTAAACGACGGGAAATGGAAGAGGAAGAGGGAAGTACCTGAGAGTGATTGGGAATGCGGGGACGAGAACGGAGAAGATGGTGAAGAAGACGCCATTGGTATCTCATTTCTGCAAATGAACGAATCATGGGATTCTGATTGATCGAGATTTTGAGTGTATGGAAGAAACTAAGAGAAAGGGAGAGTAACAGTTACTAGGGTTTTAGGAGAAGCAACCTTTTTGTTTTTGGTCATTGTAAATTTGGGCTAGTCAGCCTACTATTGAACTGATTTCTGCACCCATGTTTTCCACTTGCACCCCATGTATGGCATTAAAGATTATTAAAGATGAATATAATCTAAAGCATTGTTTTAAGCTATGGTTCGTCCGGATAGTGAATATTTGTCTTTAAAAAAGCATGAAAAATTGATAATATTTGAATTTAAATATTTGGGTTTGGAGTCCATTTACAATAAGGAACTCTAAGGATAGTATCATTATCCACTACTCTTATTAGATAAAATATAAATTAAATCTTTATATGCTATTAAATGATAGAGACACGGATTGTTTCTGTACTAAGTATAATTTTCAATTTAGCAAGAATATTTTGACGTCCAATGGTAAAACACTTTTCGATGTCATTATTATATCTAAAATCCTTATCAATATTAAAAAAGTTCAATTCAATATGCCTATGCACAATAATGGTTGAAATCTTTTGGTGGCAATCTTAAAATCTGACGAGCATGTGTAGACGTCGTTGTGCACATCCTAAAGCTACATTTTATGGTTCACTACTTTTAAAAGTCAATATGGAGCATATTTCTTCGTCACATTCACTCTATATTCCCTCTGCTCAACTTCCGAGCCAATCCTTCAATCAAATTCCTCCATGTCAACACCTCTTCACCAGTGGTTGGAGCAAGTTCATCAACCACAAGAAGTTCATTATTGACTATTTTGTTGTTTTCATCAAGGACTTTGAATGAAAACATCTCAGTCAGGATCCGTCGTGTGCGCGATTCATATCCTTACCTATGTTTGAGTATATTAAATATTCTAATTACTTAATTAGTCGGTAATTAAATTATATTAAAAAATTCATTACAGTGCCAGAATATTCTAATTAACATTTATATATATTAATACCAAAAGTTACAGATATCAATTTTTATGAATATTTTTTTATCAACAACTTCATTTACTCATCAATTACTTATGTATTGGTTATGAACTTATCTTTTTTGTGGAGTTTTTTTAATTTTATTTTATAACGTTTGAAGGATTCAAATTTGGAATTAAATGTTGATGTCACTCAAGTGCCTTTAAAAAAATAAGGAAAGATAATATTTTTCTCCTTTGCATTGTTTTAATTATTATTTTCCAAGGAATTAATGGAGCAATTATATTCTTCAAACTTCTCTTTTAAATTCTGTGATGTATAGAAGACATTGCTGTAACACTTATTCATTTGATAGTAAATAAAAACATCTTTGAAGATTAAAATAACCATTTTTCCCTTCCTTTGATGATGTTATATACATATTCTGTTTAACTCCATGACATGAGTTTTTCTTTTCTTCTCGGAAACATGAGATCTGAATGAAGATTAGCTGAACAATAAACATGGAATTCATGAAGAGAACATATTACGAATACGAAGGAGGGAGTTGAGTAGTGGTTATAAGGCAGCAAAAGCATGTTACACCAGGACCAAAGCATGATCAATATTTAAGTGTTGAATACAACGATCCATAAAACAATATTACATCAGTGAAATGGAACCACACATGAATCAGAATATAGAAACTCAAAACCCATCAGCAAAAAGGTCAGCACACAGTTATCTTGCTGATAATCTCATATATTTTCCATTAAATCAATAGTAATATATATGTGATATGAATCAGAAACTTCAACTGAATGTAAGATTAACCATCTTTTTGATTTGTTGTCAAGACTGGCTGATAAGGTGGCAGTGGTAACTGGTGGTGCAAGAGGAATTGGTGCAACTGCAGCTAAGCTGTTTGCGGAAAATGGAGCACATGTGGTCATTGCTGATGTGCTTGATGATGTAGGAGCCAAGGTGGCTGAGTCCATAGGCGGTCGCTACATACACTGTGATGTATCAAAGGAAGATGATGTTGAATCTGCCATTAACTTCGCACTGTCATGGAAGGGCCATCTAGACATCATGCTCAGCAATGCTGGAATTGGAGGGCCTGAGGGAAGAAGCATCACAACCATTGACATGGATCAAGTGAGGCATTTATTTTCCACCAACCTTCATGGAACAGTGCATGGGATCAAACATGCTGCAAGGGCAATGATCAAAGGTCAAAGAGGAGGATCCATCATATGCACTTCTAGTGTTGCAGCCGTAATGGGTGGTTTGGCCTTGCATGGATACACCATGACAAAAGCAGCCATAGATGGATTGGTGAGAAGTGCTGCTTGTGAGTTGGGAGAGCATTTGATTCGTGTTAACTGCATCTCCCCACATGGGATTCCCTCTGAGATGCTTCTCAGTGCTTTCAAAAGGTTTGCTAATGTTGATCTTACCCCTCAGTGTTTGAATGAGTTTATTGGGACAACGGCAAGTTTGCTGAAGGGGAGAGGAGCAACCATTGAAGATGTAGCACAGGCTGCTTTGTTTTTGGCTAGTGATGAGTCTGGTTTCATAACAGCACACAATCTTCGTGTAGATGGAGGATACACAAATGCTGATAGTAGAATGAGTTACATGTACCAACCTAAAAAAGATGAGAAAATAATCATTTAAGGAGAAAATACTATATAGTTCTTCAAATTTTACTCCAGAATAATATATAGGTTTTTTCTTTGTTGTTTATGGCATATATACTTCAATGTGTTCTTCCCCTCACTCTTGAAAAAACTAAGTTTTCTACAGAAACCAAGCTGTGTGTGAACCGTTGTTTCTAATTTCTGACAAACTTTGCTAACAACTCCATGCGATTAGTCTTGTTATGTAATCAACTATTGGAATTACCGCATGTTTAATTTCTCATTAATCATGATCAAAATTTAGAAGCATTAAGTTATGCTAAGAAAAAGTTTATTGATTAATGAGATGAGAGCTACATCATAGAGTTCTCTTTTGGGAGTACCACTCAAAACAAAAACTAAACTACAGAATTTCTTGAACAATGCCCTCAGAACAAGAAGAAGAGCAATACAAAAAAGGAAAAACAAAATCAAAATGAAACTGAATGATCAGGATCCGTGCATCCCTCTTAATCAATTCAATTTTTGTTCATGCCAGTTGCATTCTTCACAGCTTCAGCTGCTCCTTGTGCTGTTGCCATCATCTGCTGACCAGCCTAAACATACAATATAAGAAAAACATTTACATTAATGCGTTGATTATACAATAAATGAAATTTAGATGCGTGATGTTCACAAAGTCTTCACACACTAACACAATAACAAAGCATTCAATTTGATGAATTAAAAATTGGAACCTCTGCCATGGTTTCCTTAGCAGATTGAGCAGCATTGCTAGCCATGTCCATCAAATTGTTAGTCTTTTCCTGTTGTACATGCAAAAAAATATGGTCTTTTAAATTACATATAAACCCTAAAGCCCAAAAGACTAAATTTGCATGGAGAGTAAGAAAACCTGAGCTTGGGCTTGTTGGGCTTGGGCTTGTTGGGCTTGGCCTTGGGCTTGTTGGGCTTGGGCTTGGCCTTGGGCTTGTTGGGCTTGGCCTTGGGCTTGGCCCTGAGCCTGTCCAGCCTCGAAATTCAACTGCTGTGGGTCCATATTTTGAACTGTAATATGTAATCAAGGAATTAATTGAATGTAATGAGTGAAGATGAAGAATGATTGTAGTTTGAGATGAAGATTAGTTCCTACACGGTTGATATTTATATATGCAAGTTTCGTAAAGAATTGCGTTATTTGAGGTTTGGCTACTACATGTTCGATGGCCACGTGAGTTATTCCTAAGATTTGCTTATGTTAGAAGGATTCTTTGGGCTGTGCTGCTTTTCAGGAGAAGCTTTAAACCTGTTGATCAGGAGAGTTTTGGAGAATTCAGTGACATTTTCTGAACGTTGTGGCTGATCTGATAGAAAACAATATACCACAGACAGGATGGAGATGATTAATTAACATTGTGAAAATATTCCAATATAAAATTTAGATAACTTAGGTATAATATTTTAAATAAATAAATAAATTTTTACTCGTTAAGTTAAAAATTTGTTCTTATTCAAATTTTAATACAGTTTTATTTTTAAATTTTAAAAGTAAATAAATATATATTAAATCAATTTTAAAATTTAGAAACAAAAAGAACAGGAAAGAATTTCAATTTCACCGTACGAAAATTAAAAAGATATTGAAAATGTACATATTAAAAAAAGAATTTAATATATATTTGATCTGAATGTATTGAAGATGAAAAAAGAGTGTAACCTAAGTGGGTGTCTGGTTTTTCCTATTTCTTCGTACTAAAATATCAATTATGGCAAGACTTAGATTTCTTATATTTTCCCTTTTTCATGTGTAAAACTTTTTTCTCATACATTATTTAGCATGATTTACTTATTGGTAAAAACGGAAGCAAATTAAAGCATGGTTAAAAGGAAAATTTGTAATTTTTTTCATAAATACTTAAAATTTTTATAGGGATTGAAATTATTTAATTGAGCAATAATGCTATATATAAAAAGAAGAAAAGAAAGTTATAGAAATGTAATGTCAAATAAATCCATTGAAGTGCAGCATGCGATGGTTCTTCTTATCGAAGGGTTTTCATCAAACTAAGCTTAAATGGAAGAAGTGAGAGAAGATGAGTTTTGGTTCACGAGAAATGGCTCGTGAGGAGTGTGGTAGAAGTGGCTTACGAGAGATAAATAAACAATGTAGCTCGTGAAGAGAGGGAAAGGAAGGCGAAAAATTTATAGTTTTTTTTACTCACAAATTTTTACTATAAGTAATTATTAAGATATTTATTTATGAATTTTATCTTTCAATAATAATCGATGGATTTATTGATAAATTTTATTCATCAATAGTTACTGAGAGATTTACTAATAACATCTTGTCGTATTAAATATTTTATTTATTGATATAATTTATTGATGAGTTTTTTTTATCGATAATACATTCGTTAATAAAATTAATTGATAAATAAAATTTTAGAATTTGTTAATAATTTAAATTTATCATAGATTTATTTTCATTGAATTTTTGTAATGTATACTTGAAATAAATTTAAGTTTTATATATAAAAAAGATAACCTAAGAGTTGAGAAAAAAAATCTTTTATCCGTTAAAATACAATGGCACCATAGAATTTCTATGGAAATAAAGAGAAGTACAAGATAATTGGACTGACATATTTTTACTCATCTATCATAAAATATAAATTTAAATAGTTACTTTGAAACAAAAATATTTATGGGAGTAATTTTTTCGTAAAGAGACTTTTCTTTCTACAAAAAATTTCATTGCCTTTTGCTAGTATCATTACTTAAATTTAGTTTATTTTATTACATTGTTAATGTAAATCTTAATAAGCTACAAAACAAAAAAATAAATTGAAAATTTTAAATATTAAATTTCAAGGAATTTAGTGGGTTGAATTAACGTGTATTTTTATTAATTCGGGTCAAAACATAAAAACAAAGTTCATACAAATCCAACAAGTTGTAATAAATTTTAAGTTTAAACTATTTAAAACTACTAAATTAAGTTTCTATTATAAATTAGGATAAAAATTTATCATATTTGAATAAGTGTTTAAAATGATGATAAATTTATGTCTAGAATCAAATATTTAAGTTGTTCAACTTAAAACCAAGTTCTAAAAGCATTTTTTAATCGCTAGATACAAAAGAAAAATTATAGATAATCAACCATGCAAAATGAAATACAGAAAAAAAAAACTTGAGTCATGAAACATATTTCTATTTCAAAGAAAAAATACATTAAAATGAGATTTATTTGCCTCCAACACCAATGAAAAAGAGAGTTAAATGTAGCTTTTAACAACTTCAAAAGTATGAGATAGTCTTAAATGACTTTGTGAAATTTTCTTCCACTTTTCTACAAAAATTTCAACGAAAAGGTAATAATTTTGTCCAAAAAAATAAATCCTAAATTGTCTATCAAATAAACAAAAATTTATTGCATAAAAATAAATAAATAGATTCAATAAGCATGATANATGATGATAAATTTATGTCTAGAATCAAATATTTAAGTTGTTCAACTTAAAACCAAGTTCTAAAAGCATTTTTTAATCGCTAGATACAAAAGAAAAATTATAGATAATCAACCATGCAAAATGAAATACAGAAAAAAAAAACTTGAGTCATGAAACATATTTCTATTTCAAAGAAAAAATACATTAAAATGAGATTTATTTGCCTCCAACACCAATGAAAAAGAGAGTTAAATGTAGCTTTTAACAACTTCAAAAGTATGAGATAGTCTTAAATGACTTTGTGAAATTTTCTTCCACTTTTCTACAAAAATTTCAACGAAAAGGTAATAATTTTGTCCAAAAAAATAAATCCTAAATTGTCTATCAAATAAACAAAAATTTATTGCATAAAAATAAATAAATAGATTCAATAAGCATGATAAACAAGTTATTATCACATTGATTTATCATATCAACTGAAAATATCTCCGTTTAATACACTTTTAATTTAGTATTATTATAAAAATCTTAGTATAACGAGTAAACTATATATTTTCAAAACTTTATTTTTTTTACGTTTGTGTGCATCCAAATTTCTCTCACTAAGGATGATAAGCCTCGTGTAGTTTCTCCTCTGAGCATTAAAAATATAATCTCTTCAACTTAATAAGATACTATATTATCATTAATAAAAAAAAACTCCGTAATATAATACTTCAATAAGTTCTTTTATTTTATCTTCAACAACAATAATAAGAGAATTGATGATGTCTCACCAATAAGAAACTTCAACAATTATAATTATAATAAAAATAGTATTTATTCATTTATTATACTTCCATTATAATAAACAGCTGCAATGCCCTCATATAAGAGTTGGCAGTTGTATGGAAACATCAGCAGAATCACGCAAACAAACTAGCAAGTGAAGCAACACAGCACATTTGTAGCTTCACTTTCAGATCATAACCCCCAAATTTATTTAGGTAAAAACACAGATTAAAGATAAACAGCAAAACACAAAAAAACAGAAGCAATCATATCTCCCTTGCTTCATCTTCATTTTCATCCTCACTCCAGCAGCATCTCAGAATTGACCTGGGAGACGCACTGCCATCGCCTTGAACAAATTGTTGGTACATAACCGCACCACCCACTCCAAGCTCTTCAGTACTCTTCTCTCCACGGTAATAACCACTGATGTCCAAGGGAAATTTGTCAAGCTTTTCACCATGCATGTCAATGTGCAGAGCAACAGAAAACTCTGCTGGACGGAAGCATGCCAAAACCCTATCCACAAGTTCACATAGAGTCATGTCATCATAGTCATAACCAACAGCTTCGAAACTAGCATAACTGAAACCATCTTCTGGAGTGACATGGATAGTGGATATTGCATTCCCTTCTATACCATTCATAGAATAACCACAAGGGTCGAATTCAAAGTCACATATATCAGACTGTGGAAGGATATTCCTAATGCCAGAATTTTCAGTCATCAAAGCTGCTGAAGATGTATTTTCTTTGAAAAATACAGAAGCACATTCCTTGTCTAGACCAGTCATACACATCTCAAGGCCGTAGACGGATTCTAATGATTCTTTTGCTTGAGAACTTGCAGAGTAGATGTGCCATAACTGTGACTTTGAAGGGTCGCCCATTGCGTAAGCTTTGCTACCATTACCGAGGTTCCCAAAATAGCTGTCAAGGACAGAGACTTCTTCTGAAAAGCTACGATGAGGATATGTCTGTGCACCGGGAAAAATGAAACTTCCGCGGGTGTACCTTACAGATTTCACAGAAATGTCAATGGAATCAGCTAACTTGAGAATTACAGGAATGGCCAGAAGCAATTTAGTAGTCCCACAAGTTTTGATGATAAGTTTATAAGGATAGATAAACAGGCTTGACTCCGACAGAACATAAGAGTCAAGATAATCGTTTGAAAGCGATGAAACAATAGTGCACTCCGCTGGCTTTAGAAACTCATCCAATTGGTCCCTGGACAATGCTCGCAGACCTGATCCTCCAGCAAGAACCCCATTTTCAGAAAATGATATCTCAAGCCTTTTTTCGTAACCTTCAAAACCAATGGCTGAGGCTGCCATCTTGACTAGAAAAGAAAGGAAACTTTTGCTGTGTAGGTAGAGAACAAAAACACAAGGGAGACAAAAAGAAAAAGAAAAAGAAAAGGAAGAGGAGACAAAATGAAGACGGGGGCTATGTCACAGAACAACGGGAAAGTCAGGAAGGCTTGCGGATGCACTGCAATAGACAAAAGTTCGAGTGTCAAACATAATGTTGGATACTAAATGTCTGAATCCAATCATCAGAAAATAAATAGAATAAATATTTACGTTGGAGTAAGCAGCGGATCTGAACTTCTTGATTCCACCGTGTGGGCGAACGTCTTCAATGATGTAGTCGAGGGGAGATTCGAACAAAAAGGATTTACTACTAGACGACTTCTTCTTGCCACCTTTGGACTCCATCAGATCATTCAGACCTTTCTGACAAAAGAAGAAAACAAAATCATGACAGAACGTTAGCAATCCTGTAACAAACATGGATTCTATAATATTTTATTGTGTTAGAAGAAGAACATGAACATATAAAACGAAGGCAAAACTGCAATCTTTAACAAATTCACCATGTACGTGGCGTTCCCTTTCATCAGTTTAACAAATAAATACAAAATGTTAATACAAATTCCACAATCAGGCCTAGAATGTGTTGTTAAAAAGTCAAAAAATTGTTCCCTGAAATGCAGACAACAGGGTGATCACTCTTCCAAGGATACGGTATAATTTTATTTTAAAATTCGTTTCTAAACTGTTCCTGTAAAAATCTAAGATGTTTTTAATCTCTATATCGTTGATGAAAAATATATTTGTAGTCTGTGATAAGAAAAAAAATACAGATTAAATCTTCTGAGATATTCTTTTAGATACAAAAAAGATAATTAATCTTTTCTATTCAAAAACAGAAGAACATTGATCCTTCTGAAAAGGTTATAAAACCGGAGAGAAAATAAATAAATAAAAAATCATCCCCAATATTAAAAGCCAGAAACCCAAAAATGTTCCTTCCAGTCCCCATAAACTCTGACATAATTGAAGAACATGAACAGAAACACATTCAAATCAAAACAAAAGGTTTACCTGACATGTGTAACCGGGAAAAAGGTTTGGATACAATAACACAAAACTAAGATCAGAAAATATTCCGTATCTCTCTTCAATTCACTACTTCATTTGAAAATGGAACCATGTTCAAGTGTATACCTCAAAACATAAACAAAAATCTTAAAAAAAAATACAAAAAGAAAAGAAATTGATACTTACAGTATATACAATGGAGGCTAGTGAAGTGGTCTGATATCCCCTCCCGAAATTGCACTTCAATCAAAATTATTCCTAATGAA